TTTCTGAAGAAGCGTCTAGACCCGAAACGTCAGCTTTCCTGCTCCTCTGATGCTGCTTGGCCTGCTGTGTTCATCCAATTCTACACCTTGTTATCTCAGATTCTCCAGCATCGGCAGTTCCTACTGTCTCCATTATCTTATTGATGTGATAGGCTGCATGACCTACTCCTATACTACATATTCTTAAAGAGATTATGATCAATGTTCGTTCGGCATTGGCAAAAGATACAGTTGGAATATATGTGCAGCTTAGCATATGTAATTTCTACTGGAACAGAGGGGGTTAAGAACGGATCAAATTTTTCATCCCCTGATTTCCCTTCGTTTCTTTATATTTGTGACACCCACATAACCTCAGTCCTAAATCCCTCACTGCAGAACGGCCTGTTCTTCTGAGTCCAGCATTTCCAATGTTCCTTGATTCCTTTGCCTCATAGTCTACACCCATGCCTTTAGCTTATCTAAGCCCTACTCTCTGGAATTCTCCTATAAACACCCTTTACCTTTCTTAAGACCATCCTTGAAATATATTCTGTGATGAAGTTTTCATTCAGAGGACTACATTAAGCAGAGTTATATATAGATTCCAAACACTTCTTCTCAATTGAAAATCACATTTCTAGTCATCTTTATTCTTTCATTCACTTGACAAGTCCTTCTGGTATTGTGAAGTGTCTCAGGATATGCTTCTTGATAAGAAGGCAAGTTGTTGCTCAATCATAAGAGATTTTACAAAGTATAAAGAATCACATCCACTCGAGCCTGCACCACCGTTCAGTATGAACATGACTGATCATCTTCATCTTGACCTTCCTGGCTGTTCCTCATATCTCTTGATTCTCAGAGAGACTAGAAATCTGCCTCTCCAAGTCTTAATATATTCAACGATGGAAAAAGAAATGGAGCATCAACAGCCCTATCTCAATAGACTGAGTGAAGAAATTTCTCTTCTACTCACTCCTAAATGATCCTGTTAAATTTTCCTGAAACAGTGCTCCACGTTTTAGATCCCCCTGTCAGAGTAGACAGCCTTTCAATGCCCACCCTGTTAAGACCCTTATTGCAAAATATCACATGTAAACAATATCATGATATTGTTTCATATTATTTATGCAATGTTTCAATGATCAAAAAATTTTTTGTAGACTTTAAAGTATGCCCTGCTGGTAAAGTTTAAAAATATATAGTTTTGGAGCTTTCCCATTTCCATATAAGGTTGATACAAGTTCTAAGAATGATAATTTTGAAAATAAAATGTGAAAAATGAAATTGTTCAGTTCTGAGGAAGGGTCACCGGACCCAAAATATTAACTCTGTTTTCTCCTCCACAGATGCTGCCAGACCTGCTGACCTTTTCCAGCAACTTTGTTTTTGTTCATGAAATTGTTGCAGTTGTACAAGGTGTTTTGTAAAGTACATGAAGAAAACTGTTTTGCCTAGCAGCGGGTCAGTGCAAAGCAGAGAAATAAGATTCTTTTTCCCTAGTGAGTTCTTGTAATATGCAGTACATTGCAAGAAAGGATAAATTTCAAAAAAGATTTGGGTCTCTACTTAAAGAGGAAAATGGTGTAAGATTAGACAACTGGGATGAATTGATACCTTATCAGAAAGACAGCACAGACAGTGATGTTCCAAATGGTTCCTTCTGCACTGTGCATTTCTATAATGATATGAATAAATGAAGATGGAATATTGCAGAGCACATTCCATTCTAGTTTGACTACACCACTTTGTGTAATCATCTAGCTGAGAGTTTATGCATATTTACAGCAAACCACGAATGAACATTAAAACACTTTGCTGCATGCTGTACAATGTACGATTCAGCAGGCAGCAGGAAACAGGACTGCATAATAATAAAAATACTCCATATTTTCAATTTATATGTTCAAACTTCAACATGCGCAATTTAAATGAGAAAATGTTCCAAGGGTCGGTAAATGTGACACAATGCTACACATTTCATAAATAACTTAGACAGATTCCCAATCCATTTAAAATGTGTTAGAAATCGGTTTGCCAAATGATGGGAGAACAGAAAGGCATCTACTTGACAAGTAAAGGTACTGTCATTATTAAACTAATCATAGTATTTTCTCTCGGTCTGCACATAACTTGCTGATTTCAGCCAATCGGCCGGTATTTGATTTAGCAGAGCATTTAATGGCATCTCTCTTTGAGTTCAACTTGACTCTGCATCCTTCAGCTCAAAAAATAGCTGTACACATAAACTGATAATTGTGTAGTGGGGGAAACAGGCTACGGAACAGTGATTGAAAGATATATTGTTCCAGCTTATCAGACCTTTTGTCTCTAAAGCTAATACAAATTACAGGACCTGGTGAATCATTCTGAGGATTGCAGTAGGCAGATCGATGTTTAGATTCCAAACTCCACTTCACCATTGAAAAGCACATTTTTTGGCCTTCAACCTCCTAGCACTAGGAGAAACCATAGCAACATGGGTTTGCATTTATTTCCCAAGCCATATCGAAAAACTTAGATATAGTGTTCTAAAAGTCTGGACTGAAGATTAATGATGCCAGACCATTTTTAGATTTTGGTTTACACTGAACCAAAATTCACGTTTGATTTTTCTTGTCTACAGGAAACATCTGAAACTGATGCTATGTTATATGTAGATATTGGCTGGATGGATAGAGCTATTTGCCGATGTTAAAGAGGTGCCCAAGGATGGGTTCACAACTTCAGTTTCTAAGAAGTTTAAACACCAGGATGTTCCCTATAAAAGGTTTCTTTTGCTTATTGAAATATGGGCTAAGCAAAGAAGTGTCAACTCTTAATTGATAAGTATTTTTAAATTTTATTAATAATTCTATTGATATTATAGATCTATTGGTTTTAATAGGGGAATGTACAGGTAGGAACAGAGATAACAAGCTCCAATTCTAAATCTCAGTTAGTTAAGTCACGCAAGCATGAGTTGTTGCCAGATATTAACCTAATGGAAATCTCCTGATAGTTCTGGGACAAGGAGTAAAGTGAAGAGTTGATCATTTCTCTAGTGACCTTGATTACTGTTCTTGTCAAGGTATTAATCCCTGTGTTTTTATGACTCACTTGAAACTTGCTGCTTCATTGCTTCACTGTTTCCTTTGAATAACCTTCGACAAGATGATATTTTGGCTATCGCCCTTCCTGCTCAGTCACCCTACCCCCAGCAGTAGACCTGACAAAGTGCATTACGTGAGGCGCTTATGAAAGTGTTAATCATTATTTCTGCTTAGTTCAAAGAGGGATGGATTTTTGATAACATATTGGTGCAAAATAAAAATTCTCAAAGATTCAAATTCGCAGTTAGAATACTAAAAGATAGGGTGGAGCTAATGAACTGGTGATGATTTGTTTTCCTATCTTCAACTTTCTAGAATAATTAACTAACTGTGACAAATAGATCTTATAATTTCTTCAGTTTGTAATGCTAGCTCCTGCCAGTCTCCCAGTATTTGCAGCTAGATAGCTCACATTATCTCGCATCCCACGGATTTTTCTTGCAGTAAAACACAATTGACCACAAATAGTTGCCTGCTTCTGACAGTGAGAATTCAGAGCCAGCATGTTCCTCTAAGAGTGAAGGGCAAGGGCAAGGTGAAGGGAACCCTGGATGTCAAGGGATATCAAGAGTTTGATAAAGAAAAAGAAGGAAGCATATATCAGGTATATGGCTTTAAAAACAGGGGAGGCCCTTCAAAAAGAGAGTGTAGGAGGTTGCTTAAAAAGGAAATTAGGAGGGCAAAGAGGGGCCATGAAATATCTTTGGCCTATGGGATCAAAGGATAACCCCAAGGGATATTATAATATATTAAGGTTAAAAGAATTAGCAGGGAAAGAGTAGGACCCATTGGAGATCAAAAAGACAACCTGCTCATGGAGCCAATAGACTTGGGTAAGGTCTTAAGTTTTTTTTGATTCATTCACAAGATGAGGATATTGCTCGCTAGGCAGCATTTATTGCCCATCTCTAATTGCCCAGAGGACAGTTAAGAGTCAACTACATTGCTGTGGGTCTGGAGTCACATGTTGGCCAGACCAGGTAAGGATGATAGTTTCCTTCCCGAAGGACGTTAGTGAACCAGATGGATGTTTCTAACAATTGGCAATGGATCCATGGGCATCATTAGATTTTTAATTCCAGATATTTACTGAATTCAAATTCCACCATCTACTGTGGCAGGATTTGAACCCAGGTCCCCAGAACATTACCTGGGTCTCTGGATTAACAGTCCAGCAATACTACCACTAGGCCATTGCCTGCCCCACAATCCAAATGAGTGTTTTTCATTTTTATTCATAGAGGAGAAATACATTATAACTGGGGATTTCAGTTGGGATGGTAATGTTCGAGAATATGGGTGGCATGGTGGCTCAGTGGTTAGCACTACAACCTCACAGCACCAGGGACCACCCTCAGGTGACTGTC